AGCAGTTCATGCGCGCGGCGCAGAGGGGGAGGTTGAGCGTGGGGAAGGTGCCGGCGAGGAAGTTGAACTGCACGTCCACCACTGACAGCGGCGATGTCACGTTCGGCAGTGCTCCCGTCAGATAGTTGTAGCCAATCGTGCCACAGAGCGCGGTGGGTCGGGGTGATAAAAAATTTGGCGAAGAGTATACTGAGAGAACTCATAGGATGCAAGAGAACTCATAGGATGCAAGAGAACTCATAGGATGCAAGAGAACTCATAGGATGCAAGAGAACTCATAGGATGCAAGAGAACTCATAGGATGCAAGAGAACTCATAGGATGCAAGAGAACTCATAGGATGCAAGAGAACTCATAGGATGCAAGAGAACTCATAGGATGCAAGAGAACTCATAGGATGCAAGTGTAGTGTGGGATGAAAAGAAAGAAGTGATTCAGGGAAGAGTGGTGGTTGGTCGGCCAATCACAAAGTTGGGAGCAATGCGGGCTGATGGCTGGCTGATCATCACAACGCTTGTGTTGGCGCTCCTCCAACAAAAAAGAGGGGATTGACATTCCAACACACGTGTAAGCCAAGGCGAGGTACATGCCCAAGTCGACTGTACACCACATTTGGTGTTCTTTGCACATACCAAATATACACGCATACGAGATTGTGTGTGTGTGCGCACAGGAGAGATCACGAGGGAGGAAATGATAGCAAGGCGCGCAGTGGAAGGGCAGACGCAGAGGAGAGGCACGCGAGGAAGCAAGTACAGGCGAGGGGGGAGGTGGGGCTTACATTTTCGTGTGAGACTTGGGAGGGTGAGCATGAAAGCAGGCAGAGAGCCAGAGAGCCAGTTGTAGGCGAGATCACTGGGGGCATGGAGTGGGGGAGCAGGGACAGAGACAGAGACACAGGTGGGTAGACTATGATGCGAGGGACCAAGAATTCAGATACAACGGATCGAAAGCATGGAACCTGCACGCAAGAGCACGTGCATGCTGTACAGAGAGAGACGGATCTAGGCTTGGCTGGGCATGCAAGAGGCACAGCGAAGCCGTGATTCCCACAGGCTCAAACGCTCAACAGCAGCAGCTACAGCAACGGACATGGACTTGAGGTTGGTGAGGAGGCGCAGCTGCGTGGCAACTTCGTCCAGACGGCCTGCAAGAGGTTGGAGGTGAGGTCGCTGGGGGGAGGGGCGGAGGGGAGAGAATGAGGAGAGGGGCAGAAAGGAAGGAATGAGGAGAGTGGGGACACAGTGGTCAGGTGACTCTTAAAGGTGTGATTTTGTTGTCATTAAAATAGTGCAAGTGTTTAGGGTTAAGAGACAGTGGGTTGGAACGCAAGCAGCAGGCAGGGAGGCGGCTCACATGGCAGTGAGCGCAGTGAGGGTGGAGATGGCGAGCGGCAGAGTGCCCGTGAGCTTGTTGTTGGCGAGTTGCCTGGTGGACGAAAAAGGGAGGGGCCACAAGGAACGGGTCACGGGTCATACGAAGGCATGATAGTGATGAGTGCACACACGATGAGAAAGCAGAGGGCAATGACACCAGATGCATCCCGCGGAGCATTTCGAGCAAGAGCACTTAAAAAACGTAGTGTGCAGAGGAAGGAAGGGCAGGGGAGCAGAGGGCAGAGTGCGGACTGACAGGGAGACGACTTTGCCGGCGGAGTTGCAGAGCACGCCATCCCACGTGCCGGCGATGGGGGCGGTGGGCGCCACGGTGCAGTAGGTGGCGGGCGCCCACGTGGTGAACGTCACCCCCATCGCACTCTTCAGCGCCGCCAGCGCTACAGCTGCCGTTCATTGTGTGGGGAGAAAAAGGGCGGGCGAGAGGAGGGAAGGGAGGAGGGGTAGGGGGGAAATGGGGGGGGAGGGAGAAAAGCGAGGGAGGGAAGAGGTGAGGGTGGCACATGGTGTGGGGGAGGGGAGGTGCTGCATGGAGGGGCAGAGAACGATAGATGAGAACGACAGGGAAATGCACACAGGAAACGGCATGGGTGTGAAATGCAGGCAGGGCATAGCATGGGTAGAGAAAGAGGAAGTGCAGGCAGCATGGCGATGTGAGGCGAGGCACTCACCATCAGCGCTGCTGATGTTGACCACCGGCGATCCTGCACCAGGCATTCGGGGAATTCAGGGGAATTCAGAGGCATTCAGAGGCATTCAGAGGCATTCAGAGGCATTCATAGCATCCAGAATTATTCAGAGCATCGGGCCAAAGGGAGGGGAAAGTGAGGGCGTGAGGCAGCAGGAGGCAGAATGCAGAGCGAGTGGGAGGCAGCAGGAGCGAGGCAGAGCCGGTGGGGAGCAGCAAGAACGGCCGCACAGCACGGGGAGAAGGGCAGGCAGAGACGCACCTGCACAGTACATGGGCGGCGGGGCCAGCCCGTCAGGGTGGGCAGTGGTAGGGGTGACGTTGGGCAGGCACATGCCGCCCCAGCACAGCAGCCCCTGCGCATCTGCGCTGCTGCAGATTGCACACGCAGCAGCGGCCCTTTGGGTGGTGCTGCTGGCGCCACATGCAGCAGCGCTGGTCATGCAGTTGAGGCTGGCGTCACAGGCGGTGAGAGAGCCCGCGGCGAAGCTGCCCGCCAGGAAGTTGTCGTGCAGGAAGAGCGCTGCCAGCGTGGTTGACATGGCAGGCAGCGACCCCGTCAGCGCGTTTGCATGCACGTCCCTGTCATACCAGTAGGAGGGGGTGCGGAAGGAGGGGAAAGGACGCAAGGAGTGATGAACGAGTGGTGAAGAGCATGCTAGGGGAGGGAAGTAATAGGGAAAGAGGGGGGCTGGGTTGCTGATGGAAGCATGCCTGCTGCACACTGTGGTTGTGGGGAGTGTGTGCGCAGCATCACAAATTCGAATGAAGGATTGAGTGCAAATGGAAACCAATGCTAATCCAGATGATCTTACAGCAGTGTGAGTGCGGGAAGAGACATGAGGGTCTGCGGCAGGGAGCCTGCGAACCAGTTGTTGTTGAGGCGCCTGGGGGGAGAGGAGGAAAGGGAAACGGGTGCAAGTGCAGATGACGAGTTGAATGCACTGCACGTACTGAAGGCACGTGGTTGCAGTGTGCAGTGCGAGGCTGTGTGCAGTGCAGGCAGGCTGACACATGGTGGTGTGTGCTGGAGCAACCCGAGTAAGGGCACAGCATGCGTGAGGGCACAGCATGCGTGAGGGCACAGCATGCATGGGGACACAGCATGCATGGGGACACAGCATGCATGGGGACACAGCATGCATGGGGACACAGCATGCATGGGGACACAGCATGCATGGGGACACAGCATGTGTGAGGGCAACATGAAGGGGGGCACAGGAAGGATCGGGCAGCATAGGTGAGGGGCGGAGTGGGTGAGGCGGGCGGCACTGACAGCTGCTGGAGCGCCTGGAGGCCCGAGAAGGAGGAGACGAAGCTTGCCAGGTTGACTCGCAGCACGTTCTTGGACAGGTCGCTGCAGGGGCGCAGGGATAGGCGCAGCACACGGGAGGAGCAAGGGGAAACGGGAGCGGATGGGGCGGCAGAGAGATGAGCAGGCAGAGCTGAGGCGGAGAGGGAGCCTTGGAAGTGGCACATCACATGTGCGAGGCAGGCAGGCAGGCAGAGAGGAAGCTGGGGGAGAGATGCGACGAGGGTAAGCGACAGCACGTAGAAGGCCCTGAAAGGAGCAGCGAGCGAGGTGGGTGATTGCACAGACAGGTAGGTGAGGGCAGAGAGCTTGGAGATGTCAGCGTGCATGCTGCCTCCCAGGGCGGCGGAGGAGAGGTTGCTGCCACACATTGGATTGGGGGGAGAGAGGGTAGACAGAGAGGAAAGAAGGGGAGGAAGGGGGAGTGAGGGAGAAAAGGAGGCTTGGCATGCATCGAAGGCAACGGTTGATATAAAATAGGCAGCAGGAAGCACGGGGCAGGGAGGCAGGGAGGCAGGGAGGCAGGGAGGCAGGGAGGCAGGGAGGCAGGGAGGCAGGGAGGCAGGGAGGCAGGGAGGCAGGGAGCACTGACACGCTGAGGACGTCGCCAGAAGCGGAGCAGAGCACGCCGGTCCAGGTGCCGGCGACGGTGACGGTAGAGTTGGCGATGGCGCAGGGGGAAGCAGCAAGCCAGCTGGTGAACGTCACTCCCAGCGCTGACTTCACGTTCAGCAGCGCCAGCGCTGTGAGTGAGCGATGGGTTTGGAGGGAGGGGAGGAGGGAATGTTAGAGGCATGGCAGTGAGAGTGAGAGCAATGGACCATGGAAAGAGCGCAGGGGCAGGAGAGTTGCGCAGCATGGAGATGGCAGATGAGAAGAAGAAAGGGGTATACGTGCACTGGAGTGAAGGATGAGCGGCACGAAGCATGGAGGCTGGGACTTCATATGTGCATACGGGCATGGCAGCAAGGCATGTGAGCGCACCTGAGCCCGTATCCATTGGCGCAGCCGGGTTGTCTGCAACAGGAGAGTTTGGAAGTAGGAGAGAGAGGCAGAGGGTAAGGTACGGCAGGAGGCATGAGGAGAGCCAAAGGGGTGGAAGCGGGCGGAGGAGCGATACGAAACGGAAGAATGTCAGACGAAGGGCAATGGTTTGACTGCCATGTATTGCAGCACACGTCCAGCCGTGTGCGCCACACACTGACCTGCACATGCCATGGGCAGGATGGGCTGACTGGGTGCGTTGATAGTGCCAGCGGCGATGGCAGTAGAGGCAGGCGGGGAGCGCAGGTGCCGCCGAAGCAGAGGTCGCCCTGCCCACCCCCCGTGCCGCAGATGGCGCAGGCACCAGCAGGGGGCGCTGCACGCTACCGTAGGTGCGGCAGTTGGTGGAGTTGACAAAGCAGTTGTTCTCGCCCGCACAGAACATGAAGGCCACATTTGGGAAGACTCCTGAGAGGAAGTTATAGCCCACGTCCAGCGCCATCAGGGACTTGGAGGGGATGGGCACGGTGCCCGTGAGGTAGTTGGAGAAGAGGCCTCTGCAGGGCGGAGAAAGAGGAAGCGGGGGGAAAAGTGGGGAAGAGGAAGGTGAGGGGAAGGGGAGGGGAAGTGAGGGGGGGAGTGGTGGATAAGCAGGGGCGGGCTGGGCATGGGGATCGGAAGTTGTTGTGAGCGGAGTGCAGCCATGCGACATTTGGTACGGGGAGCGGGCGCCATGTGACATGTAGGCAAGAGTGATGCTGCTGGGTTGGCTTACAGTGAGGTGAGTTGAGGCAGCAAGGCGATGGCGGAAGGAATGGAGCCGGCGAAATAGTTGTAGTGGAAGAAGCTGAGATGGACGAGGTGAGGGGCAAATGCGAGGGTGGGGGGACGAATTCACCTAGGAGAATAAGTGGGATGCTAACGCGGTGCAAGCATGGGGTGCGCGACAAATGACACGATATGACGAATTGTGGCGGCTGGCTGCTGCCGCATGTGCCGGCTGGAGCAGCACGGCCCCAGCACGCACTGAGCAACATCATGAGTCGTGGGAGGGGAGAAAAAGGAGCAGCTGGGCTTGGTAGAAAGGGGGCCGGGCTTACAGCGCCTTGAGGGAGTGAGGGGCTTACAGCGCCTTGAGGGAGGTGAGGGGCTTACAGCGCCTTGAGGGAGGTGAGGGGCTTACAGCGCCTTGAGGGAGGTGAGGGGCTTGAGCGGGACGGCAAAGAAGTCCAGACGGCCCTGGAAGAGGTTGTAGCCAAAGTCACTGCGGCAGGCAGGGAAGAGAGTGCGGTGCAGATGGGTGAGGCAATTGCTTATTGGTCTTGCCTAATCTCTCCCGGACGGGTGAAGGTGGCATGTGATGTGAGTGAGCGTGGTGCGGTGGGCTTACAGGTAAGTGAGCGTGGTGAGCTTGGAGACATCGGGATGAATGGAGCCCTTCAGTTGCTGCCGCTTGAGCGTACTGCATGGCACAGATAGGGTATATGGGATTGTCATGGTTAACCCGGAGAATGTGAGGGCCATGCTGATGTGAGCGTGGTGCCGGGGTGAGAGGCAGTGCATGATTGGCAGACGCCAGAGGAACGGGAGGCAGGGTAGGAACGGGAAGTGTAAAGGACAGGAAGAGGCACGAGCAGCGCCAGCAGCAACCCCCTCTGGCATGCTCCACCCAGTCGCTGCTGTGCCTGACCAGCCATCCGCGCACTCACATGCTCGTGACTTTGCCGGCAGCGGTACAGCGCACGCCGCCCCACTGCGCAGGCAGCATGGTCTGCCCCTCCAGCGTGCACAGCGCAGCTGCGATCCAGTTGTTCAGTGTCACGGCCAGCGACGACTTGAGCGCCAGCAGCACCGCCGCTGGAGGGGCGGTGGGGGAAGAGGGGTGGGGAAGGGGAAAGAAACACGTTCAGTGATTGACATGGGAACGGGGTTGAGAGACGCAGGAGCGGGTCAACAGTGAGCAGGGTACAAGTGGAGTGCGTGCAAGGGAGTGCATGGGTGCTTGTGGGTGCGCAAGTGCATATGAGTGTGCATATGCCTGTGGGAGTGCAGTGAGCATGCGCTCACCATCAGCAGCGTCGATGGTGACGCCACTGCACTCCATGGGCAGCAGGGGCGAGCCCGCCACATTAGGCATCCCCGACGCGGCCGCGGGGCCAGAGTCAGGCGCGCACGCGCCAGTGCCGCCACAGAAGGGCGGCTGGCCGTTGCTGGAGCCGCAGATGGCACAGTCGGCTGCAGCGCGCTGGGTGGTGCCGGCCGTGCTGCAGGCGGCAGGAGTGGCGAGGCAGTTGGAGACGGCGGCGCAGGAAACGAGGGTCATGGTTGCGACGGCATAGAGGAAGTTGCTGCGCACGTCAAGGCTTGCCAGAGAGGAGGACACGGGGAAGCTGCCCGTGAGATAGTTGTAGCTCAGGTCACTGCAGGACGCGCAATTGGCAGCGGGAAGGGGATACGGGGGGGGTGTTGGGATGGGAGGAGATGAGACTTGAGATGAGCAGATGTGCATGCTCGAGATGAGCAGATGTGCGTGAGTGTGAGAAAATGTGGGGCAGGGAAGGCAGCAGCAACTTAGGGAAGTGGTGTGCACAGACAAGTATGGGAGCGGGTGGGGAATGTTTGAGGGGACTCACAGCTTGGAAAGCAGTTGCAGGTTGACAAGCGCGGTTGGCACGGAGCCGTAGAGCCAGTTGCTCTGCAGGTAGCTGTGGGGAGGGATGCGGCAGGGCATTGAAGGGTGGGCACAAGACAGCACGGGACAAGGTGCAAGAAGGGAGGATGGGGAAGAAGAGGGAGGGAGCAAGGAAGGCAGAATAGCAACTTCAGAAAAGCACAGGCCGGAGGTTTGAGATTGGAGAAGTTTGACAAGTGTGAAATGTGACTCACAGCTCATTGAGAAAGGTGGCTCCAAGGAGGTTGGCGGTGAAAGCAGCAAGGGGCGCCTGGAAGAGCTGCCTCGACAATGTCCTGCAGGAGGGGAGGGGCGCACACAGCAAGGCGAAGAGGACACACAGCAAGTGAGCACAAACCAGAGAACAATCAAGAGTGTTCCACTCAAGCATGTAGGCAAGTTGAGCTTTTTTTAAAATCTTTGGTGTTCGTGCTTCCAAGTTCTATGTAGAGGAATTTTACATATTCACAAATAAGTGAGGGTGAAATGCACTTACAAGTTAGTGAGGTAATCAAGCTTTGAGATGTCGGCTGGGATACTTCCCGTGAGCCCCGTGTTGTCCAAGTTGCTGCCATGCAGAAACGGCAGGTAGAAAGAGTGAGTCGCAGTTAAGCCTCGCCCATATGCACGGGCACCCATCACATCACATCCTTTCCCACTAACCCAACTGCTTCCACTCCCTTGGTGCTCAGCTGACGCCACCAGTCACAGCTTCAACTCCCACCCCACCTCCGCCCGCCCCACCACCCATTTACCCATGTGTGACACTCACATGCTGACAACACTGCCTGAATCGTCGCATATGACCTTGGACCACGTGGGAATGGACGTCGACTCCACCCACACGGAGCACGGCACAGACGCCGCCCAGCTGTTGAACGTCACACCCAGCGACGACTTGATCGCCAGCATGGCTGGTGGCATGGGGACGGCGGGTGGATGGGGGGAGGCAGATAAAAGGGTATTTGGACGAGCTAGACAAACTGAGGGCAGCGAGTTATGGCAAGAGACTAGGTACAGCACAGCATGGAGCAGCAGGGCAGACACAGAAGTGGGGAGAATCGCATGTGAGTCAGAGGTGGCTGCGACAAGGCAGGCACCGCCAGGCCAGGACGTGGGGACAAGAGGCGTGCACTGTTCAGTCAAGTGCCCAGTCAAGTGCCCAGTCAATTGCCCACGGCTCACCTGCAGTATCCGCCATGGCCTGCACAGACCCGCCCATGCACATGATGGGCTGCACGGGCTGCGAGGGCGAGTTGACAATGCCCACGTCCCACAGCGCAGTCACGTCCGCCACACACTGCCCTCCCGCCCCCCAGCAGAAGGGCCGCACGCCGTTGGTGGTGCCGCAGAAGGCACATTGCGCCGCGGGCCGCTGAGCCGTGCCGTTGCTGATGCACTTGGCGGGCGTGAGCATGCAGTTGCCGGCACAGCCACAGAACGTGTAGTTGGCTGTGGGCACGTCTGTGAGGAAGTTTCCTCGCACGTCCAGAGAGCGCAGCTGAGAGGCGAGCGCAGGCACGGTGCCGATGAGGTAGTTGTAGACCGCACCACTGGGGAGGGAGGGAGTGGGGGGGGGGACGGAGGGGGGGGCCAGCAAGGGTGAATACGGGTAAACGAATTCGTCAAGTGTAGGCAGAAACGGCACTAGAAAGGGGAAGGAGATACAATTGGCATGCATCTGTGGAAGCAGCATGCAGCCATCCAGCACGAACATTTGTATCGGACTTACAAGTTTGTCAGCTTTGGGAGGCTCATGAGGAACGAGGGGATTTCTCCGTACAAGTAATTGTAGTGCAGACGGCTGTGGGAGGAGCAAAGACGGTGAGGGCAGAACTCAGATGAGAGGTGGTGGTGGTCAGATGAGTGGTAGCATGTGGAACGGAGGGCGGAAATTCTGAGAGAGAAACAAAATTGGGTGAAAAGCTGGGGCAAGACGAGAAGCCAACATCATTCGCCTGCTCTCGCCTTTCCTCCCCTACAGCCACACTCTAGCAGCACTCACATGTCGGCGAGTGGCAAGAAACGAAGAGACGTGGTGAAGGAATCGAGGCGGGATCTGAAGAAATTGCCCGGCAGGTTCCTGCGAGGGGCGAGCAGAGAGGGAAGGAGCACATCGCCCGAGCACCTCGGGTTAGGGTTCAGGAATCACTAATGCAGAATCAGGAATGCAATGCAGCATGGCTCGACTAGGCGATGCTAGATTGGGTTGGGGGCATCCATTGCATGCTGCCGAGATAAGAAAGATGAAGCAGTCAGTACAACAGCAGACAATATTTTTTTTATGAGAGGGACTATTAGAGCAACAACAACGTGAAAGATACACAACTCACAGGTAGGTAAGAGCAGTGAGGGTGGAGATGTCAGTGGAAAGCGAGCCATAGAGCTTTGTGTTGTCCAGCGTTCTGAATGTGCGAAAGGAACGGTTGATGGCGAATGGTTGGAAGACACACGCAAGAGCAGGTGGGCAGATGAATACCGTATGGCATGCAGGTGCATGGCAGGAAAAGTATGGAAACGGTGTCACTGTGGTCAGAGAGTACACGTGATTGGCACGCTCCCAGATATGCCCTTGCTGATGCTCACTCACTCACACGCCACAAGACAAGGGAAGAAGAGAACCACTGGCATGTGTCATCATCATCTTCTACTTGGGCCGTAATAACAAGCTTTCCCTGCATGCACGTTGCCTCGTATTTGCACGATGTTTTACTCGTGAACGTTCACGTGCCCAATGTGCCGACTCACATGCTCACGACCCTCCCAGTGCTGTCACAGAGCACGCCAGTCCAGACTTTCACCGTGGCGGCCTGCCCCGCGAGTTGGCACGGCACAGAGGCCGCCCACGTGGTGAACGAGACGCCGAGCTCAAGCTTCAGGGCGAGCATGGCTGGTGAGGGGCACGCGAGGAAAGGAGGCAGGCAGCGAGAGGTGCGGGGAGGGAAGCCCCAAGGAGCACGTGAGGAGATGGACTGGTTGCACTGGGCCTGTAAACGCATGCTGCACACAGGGCCCCCACCCATGTGGGATTACTGCACACACCCGTTGCTCATGTGCCCTCCTACCAGCAAGGTAGGCACCAACAGGCCATGGGACACAACCGAACGTCCACTGCCCACTGCCAACTGCCCCCTGCCCACTGCCCACCTGCGCTTTCTTTGACGAGCACGGGCGGTGCCGAGCACGACAGGGGCAGCACGGGCTGCGAGGGCGAGTTGACAGTGCCGGCCGTGACGGCTGCAGTGGCGTCCACCACGCACACGCCTCCCGTCGCACAGAAGGGACCCGTGCCGTTGGTCGTGCCGCAGACGGCACAGTTTGACACGGGCCGCTGAGTGGTGCCAGTAGTGGTGCACTTGGAGGGCGTGAGCAGGCAGTTGGTGTCGCCCCCACAGTATGTGTACGTGGCTGCTGGCACGTCCGTGAGGAAGTTTCCTCGCACGTTCAGAGAGCGCAGCCCAGAGGCGAGCGCGGGCACGGTGCCGATCAAGTAGTTGTAGATAGCACCGCTGGGGAGGGGTGAGAGGGCAGCAAGAAGGGGGGTGCATAGAATGCCTCTATAACGAGTGGGCAGACGGGACAGGAGGGCAAGGAAGGAGAAGTAGCACGCGTCTTAAGAGGCAGCACGCAGCCATTTGGTCCGTGCCTCCTTATCATACTTACAATCCAGTGAGTTTGGGAAGAGCCACGAGAAACGAGGGGATTTCTCCGTACAAGTAGTTGTAATGCAGGGCACTGCGAGAGGAGCAGAGACGACGAGGTCAGCAATGAGATGAGTGGCAGCATGTGAAACAGAGGTTGAAAGATTGAGACGGGAAAGGCTGACACCAGCATAATTCGCCTGCTCTCACCCACCCCCCCCCCCACCCCCTCCCTTGCCAGCCAAAACCTGGCAGGCACTCACATGTTGGCCAGCACTGGCAAGGATTGGAGGTTGGTGGTGAAGGAGTCGATGCGGTAGTTGAAGAGATTCTGTGCCAGGTTGCTATAGGGGGAGGGCGGGGAGAGGGGGGGGGAGGGAGCGGAGAGTGCAGGAGACACGGTCATTGTGCTTGAACTCTCGACCGAATGCGTCATGGCTCAATCAACTGGGCTCTTGGCGACTCTATTTTACCAAGAAAGGAAACATATGGAAGCTGATATGACAGAGGGAAGCATTGTCAGCAGCCGACCGGAACAGCTAGTGTAGCAGACGCAACTCACAGGAGGGTGAGAGATGTGAGCGTCGAGATGTCAGTTGGAAGGGAGCCCTTGAGCTTTGCGTTTTGCGCGGATCTGAGGCGCACAACAGTTGGTGCAGAGCATTGGAGGACACATGCAAGGGCGGGTGAGCACACGAACACGGCATGCAGGAATGGGTGGGAGAAGGTTTAGGGGTGTCACCGCAGGCAGTGGAAGCACGCAATGAACATGATAATCCCATGCGCTGCCACACAAGCCACAGGGACATGTGTGAACCACCGGCAATGATATGATCTCCATCCCCCATACCAGTGACTATCCACATGCCCAGTACGACCACTCACATGCTCACGACACTCCCAGTGCTGTCACAGAGGACGTCAGTCCACACTGCAGCCGTGGTGTTCTGCCCCGCGAGTTGGCATGGCACAGAGGCCGCCCAGGTGGTGAGAGTGACGCCGAGCGAAGACTTGAGTGCGAGCATGGCTGGTGAGGGGCACACGGGGAAATCGGAAACAAGGCGAGCAGCGGGAGGAAGGGGAGGCCTTAAGGAGCATGTGAGCAACAGGAGGGCGAGCAGGGACCCTCGCAGACAGCCAAGCTCCGGGCCAGCACGGTCCCTCTTCCCCCTTCCCCCATGCCCTGCCCTCTGTCCCCCGCCCCCATCTCTCTGCCTACCGGTGCTCTCTTTAATGGTTGCCACAGTCGTCCCGCCCACACACGCCAGGGGCAGCAAGGCCTGAGACGGCGAGTTTACAGTGCCGGCAGTGACGGCTGCAGCCGCGTCGAGTGAACACACCCCTCCCGTCGAGGCGCAGAAGGGGCCGACGCCGTTGGTGGTGCCGCAGACGGCACAAGCTGAGGCAGCGCGCTGAGTGGTGCCACCACTGGAGCACTTGGAGGGCGTGGTGAGGCAGTTGGCGTCGCCCCCACACCACGTGTAGCTGCCTGTGGGCACGTCCGTGATGAAGTTGCCACGCACGTCCAGCGAGCTCAGCTTGGACGCCACCGCGGGCACGGTGCCAATCAGGTAGTTGTAGACCGCACCACTGGCCAGGGGGGACAGCAGCCAAGGGACAGGTGCATAAGGGCCTACAATAGAAACAGAGTGCAAAGAGAAAGGAACGGAGAGCTAGAAAGGAGAAGCAGCATGCACCGGTGCTTGCATTGCTATCAGACTTACAAGGAAGTGAGTTTCGGGAGGCCCACGAGAAACGAGGGGATTTCTCCATATAGGTAGTTGTAGTGCAGGGCGCTGCCAGAGGAAAGAGGCGATGGGGCAAGAGACGAGAGGCGGCGCTTATCAGATGCGTGGCAGCATGTGGAACAGAGGACAAGAGAAATGAGAGTGAAACGGGAGTGGGTGAAGCAGAGGCGAGTCACACGAGCACCCCCATCATTCGCTTGTTCTCACCCTGGCAGGCACTCACACGAGGGCCAGCACTGGCAAGGATTGGAGGTTGGTGGTGAAGGAGTCGATGCGGTAATTGAAGAGATTTTTCTGCAGGTTTCTGTGGGGGAGGGGCGAGAGGGGGAAGGGTGCAGGAGGCACGGTGATTGCACTTGAACCTCGCCCTGGGAACGCATCATGGGTCATCTGTGCTGTAAGAAACACTATCCTGCCACAAAAGTAGCCGATATGAGAGCAGAGAGCATTCGCAGCAGCCGATCAGAACAGCCACGACACAGCAGATGCAACTCACAGGAAGGTGAGAGATGTGAGCGTGGAGATGTCAGTGGGAAGTGAGCCCTTGACTTTTGCGTTGTCCACCGATCTGATATGCACAGGAGTTGCGGTTGGTAGACACATGCAAGAGCGGGTGAGTAGACGAATGCGGGAAGGCGTGGGGAAATGTGGAAGCATGTGAACCACAATCTGCCTCTCATGCCCTTGCTTGCTCGTATGATCGTGATAATCCTCACTCACATGCCACACAGACATGCGTGAACCACTCAATATCTTTTTAAGGCCACAAGGACATAGGTGTAACCATGCCGATGACGCCGACTCACATGCTGACGACGCTGCCAGTGCTGTCACAGAGCACGCCGCCCCACACTGCCACCGTGGTGGTCTGCCCCGCGATTTGGCATGGCACAGAAGCCGCCCAGGTGGTGAGAGTGACGCCGAGGGAGGCCTTGAGGGCGAGCATCGCTGGTGAGGGGCACGCGGGGAAAATGGGAACAAGGCAGGCAGTGGGAAGTGGGAGAGGGGGACGCACAGAGCAGGTGAGCGAGCGGAGTGCGTCCACCGGCCGTGTGGACGTTGCCCAGGAAACAACTGTCCCATTCATGTGGCCTAGAACGTCACACATACATCCCACCCACCTTATAGCCATGTGCTGCTCGCACTCACCCATTGCTCACCTGCCCTCCTAGCAACGAGGCACTCACCGACACAGGCCATGTGGACAACAGCCATTCTGCCCCCAGCCCCCTGCCCCCTGACGATTTTTGAGGCGCCTCAAAAACCGACACAGGCCATGTGGACAACAGCCATTCTGCCCCCAGCCCCCTGCCCCCTGCCCCCAGCCTACCTGTGCTTTCCTTGATGCCCACCACGGGTGAGCCCACACACTTCATGGGCAGCAAGGGCTGTGTGGGCGAGTTCACAGTGCCGGCAGCAACGACCGCAGAACCGTCCGCCGTGCACACCCCTCCCGCCCCCCAGCAGAAGGGGGCCACACCACCGGTGGTGCCGCAGAAGGCACAGTCCGCAGCAGAGCGCTGGACGGATCCACTGCCGCTGGTGCACTTGGCGGGCGACACGAGGCAGTTACCGGCACCCCCGCACCAGGAGTAGCTGCCGGTGGGCACGTCCGTGAGCAGGTTGAAGCGCACGTCCAGCGTGTCCAGCTTTGAGGCGATCGCCGGCACCGTGCCGATGAAATAGTTGTACGTCGCTCCGCTGGTGGGGTGGGCAGGGGGAGCGAGGGAGATATTGTTGAAGGGGTTCATAAAGGAGTGGGCAAGGCAAACAGGACCTGAGGGCAGGACAAGAGAAGAATCACGCATCTCCTAAAACAGCATGCAGCGGCCGCTTGGTACGTGCCTTGGTATCAGACTTACAACTTGCCGAGTTTCGGGAGGGCCATGAGGAAGGAGGGGATTTCGCCGTATAAGTAGTTGTAGTGCACGGCACTGAGACAGGAGCAGAGACAATGAGGGCGGCAATGAGATGAAGGGCGGCATGTGAAAGAGAGATTGGCAAACTGATGGAGTAACAGGAGTGGGAGAAACGCTGAGGCGAGACAAGACATCAGCCTCATTCGCTGCTCTCACCACACGTCCCTTGCCGGCCATACCTTGGTGTTGAAACACTTACAAGATGTAGAGCGATGGCAAGTTTTGGAGGTAAGTGGAGAAGGAATCAAGGCGGTAGTTGTGAAGATTGTTCTGCAGGTTGCTGTGGGGAGGGGCGGGGCGAGCAGAGGGTGCAGGAGGCATGGTGGTTGTGCTTGAACCTCGACTGCATGCATCATGGCTCCACTGGGCAACTCTATCCTGCTGAGAGAGGAAACGTACCGTACAGCCGCCGATATGACAGCAGAGAAAAATCGCATTACAAAGTGGATCAGAGCAGCGAGAGCACAGCAGGCGCAACGCAACTCACAGGAAGCTGAGAGCAACGCAACTCACAGGAAGCTGAGAGCAACGCAACTCACAGGAAGCTGAGAGCTGTGAGCGTGGAGATTTCAGAAGCGAGTGAGCCCTTGAGGCTCGAGTAGGTCTGGGTTCTGAGGTGCACAGCAGTCATAGGCAGAGTGTTGGAGAGGACACACGTAGGGGTGGGTAGGCAGATAAATACGGCATGCAGGTATGGCGGGAGGTTATGGAAGTTGTGTCACCATGGTCAGAGGAGGCACATAATTATCCTCACTTTGATGCCACGAGTGTCAGAACTTGAGCTTGGAATCCATGCATTAGTAATGACCTTGAAGCTCTTTAAGTACATCCAAGAGGGGTGAGCAAGGAATGGATGGGGAGAGAATCGGGGACAATCTCTAGGGATTGGGGGTAATCCTAATGCAATCTGCAATCTCCAATTGGTGGGTTGGAGATTGCTTGAAGATCAATTTTGGGTTTGGTTGGATGTGGGTGTACACCCAAGTAAACACAAAGTGCAAACTACACTAAACTAGGATATAAAAAATACAAGTACAGAATGTGAGGGCTAACACTACCAACGAGCATATGCGCACAACAGCAGCAATGCGTGCCTGATCATTATCCTCTTGGGCTGGCTCACATGCCCAGAAATAGGGTTATACTGATCTTCTCCATTCCCATGACAAGACGACTTACATGCCCAATATCACATCCCCAACATGCAGACTCACATGCTGACGACCCTCCCAGTGCTGTCACAGAGCACGCCGCCCCAGACAGTCGCTGTTGTGGTCTGCCCCTCGATCTTGCACGGCACAGACGCTGCCCACGTGGTGAGGGTGACGCCGAGCGACGCCTTGAGGGCGAGCATGGCTGGTGAGGGGCACGCAGCGAAAGGGGCAACAAGGCAGGCAGCGGGAAGCGAGGTGGAGGGAGGCCCGAAGCAGCACGTGAGGAATGGAGGCGGTGCATGGGCCCTGTGGATGCTGCCCAGGGCAGCACAGTCCCACGCAGCTCTACCACATAATTCCCCACAATGGCCACCTGTGCTGCTCGCACCCACCCGCTGCTCACCTGCCCTTCCAGCAGTGAAGAACTCACCGGGCAGACAGGCCACGCGGACAACAGCCACGCACTGCCCCTGCCCCCTGCCCCCTGCTCCTCTGCCCCCTGCCTACCTGTGATTTCTTTGACGGCCACCACCGGGCCGCCCACGCACACCATGGGCAGCAAGGGCTGTGTGGGCGAGTTCACAGTGCCGGCAGCCACGACTGCAGAACCGTTCGCCGAGCACACCCCTCCCGCTCCCCAGCAGAAGGGGGCCACACCGCCGGTGGTGCCGCAGAAGGCACAGTCCGCAGCAGAGCGCTGGACGGAGCCGCTGCCGCTGGTGCACTTGGCGGGCGACACGAGGCAGTTACCGGCACCCCCGCACCAGGAGTAGCTGCCGGTGGGCACGTCCGTGAGCAGGTTGAAGCGCACGTCCAGCGTGTCCAGCTTTGAGGCGATCGCCGGCACCGTGCCGATGAAATAGTTGTACGTCGCTCCGCTGGTGAAGGGGGGAAGGGCAGCGAGTGAGGTTTGTTAAAGGGGGCAAGAAAGAAAGAAGACGATATCGACAATCTTTAAAAGCATCATGCAACCGCCGCTTCTACGTGCCTTGGTATCAGACTTACAACTTGCCGAGTTTCGGGAGGGCCATGAGGAACGAAGGAATTTCGCCGTATAAGTAGTTGTAATGCACCGCACTGCGACAGGAGCAGAGATGATGAGATGAGGGCAGCAATGAGATGAAGGGCGGCATGTGAAAGAGAGGAACAGGACTGCGTGAAAAGCAGAGGCGAGACACGACACCAGCATCATCGTTCGCCAGCTCTCACCGCACGTCCCTTGCCGGCCATACCTTGGTGTTGAAACACTTACAAGATGTAGAGCGATGGCAAGTTTTGGAGGTAAGTGGAGAAGGAATCAAGGCGGTAGTTGTGAAGATTGTTCTGCAGGTTGCTGTGGGGAGGGGCGGGGCGAGCAGAGGGTGCAGGAGGCATGGTGGTTGTGCTTGAACCTCGACTGCATGCATCATGGCTCCACTGGGCAACTCTATCCTGCTGAGAGAGGAAACGTACCGTACAGCCGCCGATATGACAGCAGAGAAAAATCGCATTACAAAGTGGATCAGAGCAGCGAGAGCACAGCAGGCGCAACGCAACTCACAGGAAGCTGAGAGCAACGCAACTCACAGGAAGCTGAGAGCAACGCAACTCACAGGAAGCTGAGAGCTGTGAGCGTGGAGATTTCAGAAGCGAGTGAGCCCTTGAGGCTCGAGTAGGTCTGGGTTCTGAGGTGCACAGCAGTCATAGGCAGAGTGTTGGAGGACACATGCAAGGGTGGGCGGGCAGATGAATACGGCATGCATGCATGGGTGGGATGTTGTGAAAGCAGTGTCACATCTGACAGAAGAAGCACGCAATGATTCTCACTCCGATGCCACAAGGACATGCACACACTGTCAGAAATAGGCTTAGAAGTGATACATTAGTAATGAGCTTGAAGCTCTTTAAGTACATCCAAGAGGGGTAGGAAAAGGATGGGGAAGGGAATCGGGGGCAATCTCTAGGGATTGGGGGTAATCCCAAGGCAATCTCCAATTGGTGGGTTGGAGATTGGTTGGAGATTACATTTGGGTTTGGTTGGGATGTAGGTGTACACCCAACCAAACACAATGTGCAAACTACACTACTCTAGGATATAGAAAATACAAAGTACAAATTGTGAGATTGAAGACTAACACTAACACACACCAGCAGCAATGCGTGGGTGATCATTATCCTCTTGGCCTGCCTCACGTGCCCTATGGTTAGGGTTCTAATGATCGTCTCCATTCCCATGACAACCCGACTTACATTCCCAATATGCGGACTCACATGCTGACGACCCTCCCGGTGCTGTCACAGAGCACGCCGCTCCAGACAGTCGCTGTGGTGGTCTGCCCCTCGACCTTGCACGGCACAGAGGTCGCCCACGTGGTGAGAGTGATGCCGAGTGACGCCTTGAGGGCGAGCATGGCTGGTGAGGGGCACGCGGGGAGAGGGGAGAGAAGGCAAGCAGCGGGAGATGGGGGACGCTCCAATGAGCACGTGAGCAAGCAGAGGGGGAGCAAGGTTCCTCGCAGGCAGCCCAGCGCCCCAAGCAGCACAGTACCACGTAGCCAGCGCAATGGTGAGGCAACGACACTCACCATCACACATTCTTTCCCAATGGCCAACTGTGCTGCTGCTCGCACGCACACACCCACTGCTCACCAGGCAACGAGGCTCTCACCGACAGACAGGCCATGTGAACAGCAGCCATGTGCCCCTACACCTGCCCCTGCCCACGCCCTTTCCCCCTGCCCCTGCCCCTGCCCTCTGCCCCTGCTCTCAGCTACCTGCCTACCTGTGCTCTCTTTGATGGTCACAGCCGTCCCGCCCACACACGCCAGGGGCAGCAAGGCCTGTGAGGGCGAGTTCACAGTGCCGGCAGTGACGGCTGCAGTCGCGTCAACTGAACACACCCCGCCCGTCACAGAGCAGAAGGGGCCAACGCCGTTGGTGGTGAAGCAGATGGCACAAGCTGAGGCAGGGCGCTGGGTGGCGCCATTGCTCGCGCACTTGGAGGGCGTGACGAGGCAGTTAGTGTCGCCCGCGCACCACGTGTAGCTCCCCGTCGGCACGTCCGTGATAAAGTTGCCCCGAAAGTCCAGAGATTTCAGCAGAGACGCGACCGCAGGCACAGTGCCAATCAGGTAGTTGTAGATCGCACCGCTGGCGAGGGGGGAGGGCAGCCAGGGGACGGATGCATAAGGGCCTACAAGAAGAGTGCAAAGAGAAGAGCGGAGGGCTAGAAAGGAGAAGCGGCATGCATCGGAACATGCATTGCGGTCAGACTTACAAGGAAGTGAGCTTCGGGAGGCCCACGAGGAACGAAGGGATTTCTCCATACAAGTAATTGTAGTGCAGGGCGCTGCAAGAGGGAATGAGGCGATGGGGCAGAGATGAGATGAGAGGCGGTGGTGGTGAAGAGACGGTGAAGGCGGCAAGGAGATGAGTGTCAGCATGTGAAACAGAGGTTGAATGACTGGCGGTTATGAGTGTGGGTGAAAAGGCTGAGGCGAGACAAGACACCAGCAGCATCATCATTCGCCTGCTCTCATTCCTCCTCCCGTGCCTTCTATGCCCTAGCAGGCACTCACAGGAGAGCCAGCTCTGGCAAGGACCGGAGGTTGGTGGTGAAGGAGTCGAGGCGGGCGTTGAAGAGATTCTGTGGGAGGTTTCTGTGGGGGGATGGCGAGAGGAGGGTGCAGGAGGCATGGTAATTGCGCTCATGCCAAAAGAGGAACCATAGAGGAGCCGATATGACAGCAGAGAACATTCTCATTACCAAGTGGATCAGAACAGTTAGAGAGCAAAGCAGACGCAACTCACAGGTAGGTGAGGGCTGTGAGCGTGGAGACGTCCGAAGGAAGTGAGGCTTTTAGTTTTAAGTTATCCAGGGTTCTGAGGTACACAACAGTGTCGGAGTGTTGGAGGCATACAAGGGAGGGTGAGCAGTTAAATATGGTATACAGGTATGGCGGGGAGATTATGGAAGCGGCGTCACAGCGGTCAGAGGAAGCACGTCGTGGACAAGCTGCCTCACATACCCTTGCTGCTCATCCTCACTCACATGACAGATACAAATGCATGAACCACCGGCAATGTGTCTCACTACTAGCTGGGCAAGGCAAACGGTCGGTAGTGCATGAGAACGAGCTTAGATCGACTGTTGCAACACCTGCCTTGCCGCCTCTCACACGCTGCGTTGCCGCCCCTCACACGCTGCCTTGCCGCCTGCACTCACACCCCTGCCTTTGCCGCCTGCACTTACACCTTGCTTTGCCACCAGCACTCACACCGTGCCTTGCCGCATGCGGCACTCACACGCCTGTCTTGCCGCCTGCAATAACACCCTGCTTTGCCGCATGCAATCACACCCCTGCGTTGCCGCCTGCACTCACAACCCTGCCATGCCGCCTGCCGCCCTCACACCCTGCCTTGCCGCCTGCTGTAACACCTCGCTACACAGTGGGTCAAAACGAGGGTTATATTTGAGTCAACCCTTACGTGTAAGCCCCACAGGCGTTACACTCGTCCCCCCCTGGAGCCAACGTCCTCGTTGGGCAGGGGGTCGGCCCTCGCAAGGGAGTGGGCCAAGCCAGCGGCGGATCGTTCACTGGGTTCGCGACTGGCACATTCAACTTCTCGCTCAACAGCGGAAAATGTGACCCAGTCGGGAATCGAACCTTAGGCTCTGAGACCATGTAACACCTCGCTACTAGCTGGGTCAAAACAAGGGTTATTTTTGAGGCGCAGCGGAGATACTCAACCCTTACGTGTAAGCCCCACAGGCCTGCACTCACACCCTGCCTTGCCGCCTGCACTCACAACCCTGCCACGCCGCCTGCCGCACTCACACCCTGCCTTGCCGCCTGTTCTCACATCGTGGAGATTTTGCCATCAGCGGTGCAGCTCACGCGGTCCCAGTCACCAGCGGCTGCAGCGGCGCCATTAAGAGTGCACTGGTTGCTGGTGGTCCACGTGGTGTACGTGAGCCCCATGGCCGCCTTGATATTCAGCAGGGCCGTCGCTGATGGGCGGGAGGGCAGAGGAAGAAGGAGCAGGGTGATGGAAGCGGAGGGGAGGGTGGGAGGCAAGGAAAGAAATGTGGAGCATATCAGGCTTGCTTGCAAGGACCAAAAGTACGGGTGGCAAGGCATGCAGACTGGGGGCGTTAACAGCCACGAGGGTAGGTGAACGGTGGGAACCGGAGAAGCAAAACGTAACATCCTGAGCAAACGGGAATTTTCAGTGCGATGGTTGTATCCATCGGCTTGCATTTAAGTTTTTTCAGGATATTTTCAAGATTTGTGGGTTCACTTCCAAATATCCAACCCCAAGAAAGCAACAAACTCGTCTGGACACGTGGGAACGACTGAGGTCATGGCTCATCCGATGAGCCAGTAGGTTGATTTGAACACTTTGACCGGCGTGCTATGATCTATCATCACGTGGATACAACTAGGGGCTACTACTAGGGGCTTCCACCTTGATCAGTCAGCATGACGACGCTACTAGCGACGAAGTGTAAGTGGCTGGAAAGTACTGCGAGCACGACCACCGCGACGAGGCGCACACGCCCCCGGGCCGCCATGGCGACCATTCGCGCTCTTCCCCTACCGCTAGTACTAACTACTACCAGGGACGGTGACTCTAGCGTGCTGGATCTGGGGTGCTGCCACAGCACGACAACTGGAGGAGTTCGGAGAAAGCCCGCTTCGAGTGGCCAAAGGAAGGATACGAAATGGAAACTCTGCAAAAGCATCACGATGCGAGAAAAGGGCAACTTTGCAGAGCACAAACTCAACGCAAAAGATCTTGCGGATGATGAAGAACGTGAAGGCTGATTCCGAGGAGGCCGTTGCTGCAGCTGTTTGGCGACTACTGTGCGGCAGGTTCTGCCCCATAAATCTCCTTCAAATGCTGCAGCGAAGAACTTCTTTCTTTCTTTCGGCCTGATGCAATTCAGGCGGTCTACATCATTACGTTCGGCAGTCGTCGGTTGTACATCTCTCCATGAACATTAGCCTGATTGAAGAAGCGGGGTGTTCTGAAGACCAAAAAAGGTTGCATCATTTGTGGAAAATCATTTGGACGAACAGAAAGCACCTTGACGAGGTACGAAAGGGCAGCCCTAAAACTACAACAATACGGGTCGAGTTGCGCAACAATGTTTTCACTGTTGTAAATAGAGCCAGGAAAGTCAAGTGGACGAAGTACAGAAAGGAAGGCATTTGGCAACATGGCTACAAAAAAAGGCAACGAATTGTCACGGGGGGCCGATAAATTCAGCAGCGAAAGGGTGTTGCACATGAGTCCAACAAGAACAGCAAACCACCAAACCGGACTGGCGGTTGCGGAGGGTGGGTTTGAGCAAACGCCCCCACCAACAAGATTCCGTGTCTTCGAATTCATGTGGGCAGGGAAATGAAAGTCCTGGGATAGGATGACCCGAATTGCGGCAAACCATTATATATTCAGCGCCAGAGAAATTGAGACTAAGAGCTCAGGTGAGGGATTTGTCAGCTAAAGTTCTGGATCTTGCCCGCACTAGGTATAGTGCAGTTCGGTGATGTCCCACAAAGTGAAATGCTTATCCCATTTTTAATGCCCGTTGTATTGGGAAAATTCCCAACCATCGGCAGATGGTGCACGTTCTAGAGAATCGTCACTACAAACTGTACACGGGTGCACCGCACAACTTCTAGTACAACTGATTTTACACTATTGTTTGCAAAACAACGGAACACGCACAAGAATTTTTACACGGAAGCACTATTGTTTACTTCCGTTGCCAGATTCGGCACATGAAATCGTGGAATTGCAAAAGGGCACGGTACATTTGATGTAAAGCCCAAAGTTTGCCCTTGTCAGTCGATTCCTGACCTTTTTCTAAGTTCGATTGTGTGGTCGAAATTGTTTTTTTAAGGTTCGAGTCGCGGGGCCGATTTCCGGTAAGTCAAGATGTGACCATTGAGGCTCTAAAATCGAAATTCGACCTCTACGAGCCGCAAGTGTAACGCGTAGGTTACCCAATGTAGCCTACTTGGCGCTGGCGTAGCGTGCGAAATTTAATGTGCAGATGTCGTCAAGCTTCGCCAAGGTCGTGCAATTTTTGCAATGGTCTGGTTACTTGACTTACCAGGTCAACATTCGAGCATTTATTTGATAATATGCGAAGATGATAGCGACATTCACGAAGCCAGTAACCAGCCTTAGTTCGAACGGTTTTCCGAACTTTGATTCAAAAGCACCCCGCCCGAAGTTCGTGGTGCAAATGCAAGGCGCTTTCCCGAGTGCCGTGTTGCAAGGCAGGCGCATAGAAACATCATGCCCTTGAGACGCGATAGTTTTGGCGATCGAGTGTAGGTGGGCCTTCACCTCGTGAGTCGTGAATCGTGATTCTCGTGAATCGTGGGACCCAGGGAATGGGACGGGGGCGGGAGGGACGTCCTTGATCCGCTAGCCAGCCCCTCCTTATGCAAGGACGGTGCAACTGTACAAGGGTGCGAAGAACAAGACTACCCACCCATTTTGCCACTGTACAAGAGTACCACCGACCACCGGAATTGAGCAGTGGTTGTGGGCAAGGCAGAAACAACTAACGTCTGGACGGATTTCGGGATGGATCAAACATGAACACGGGAAAGAAGGCCAGTGTTCAGGTTTGATGTCAGTGTTTAGGGTACAAAGGTTTTCCTTCCTCTCCCCAGATACTGGACACTCTGAATTGAGTCCCAAAATCGGGTACTGGGCCGCTCGCTGGCCAATTGGCAAAACAATACAGTGTTTGGACGCACGAGGCGGAAGCACTGGCTACAGTGTTTGGACGTAGCGGGCTGGTGAGATAACTTGGTTGCGGGCAAAGTCGCACGAGGCGAGGAAGCAGGACTTGGGCAAACAAAAAACCGTTAACGCTGAATAACCGTTAACCGCTTTAAACCAAGCAGTAACATTCTAGAACGTATAAAACCTTGACTCAACGCCTTGGGTCAAATTGTCACTATAACGCATGTGATACGACCTACTTTGGTCCGCTGCGGCTACACTAAGCGTCCCGGTCAGTATAACATATGCCAGTCTATCGAGAATGAGGGTGTACCCCAGATTGAATTAACTAGCAGTTTATCCCTGCTACCCCAAATTCTATAATAACTTAGAAAAGTCGCCCTGCAAAACAGGCTTTGAAGATGATGTCACCCTGGCAAAACTTTACATGAACTAATTAAAACACTTATATTGCAGGTATGAGCAAAATCGCATCACTGCCAAATTCGATTCTGTTACAACTTTTTTAATTAAGTTTTCTGCCATGAGATTGGTTAGGTTTTAGAAGCACAGTGAAAACATGTTCGATTTTTTTTACAATTTGTCAAAGGTTTTAAAAAAAGGGTCTTATTATAGTTATTTAAAAAATCTCAGCATTTTAGCAAGTATAGCAGTGATGAATATTTTTTTGTCAACAAAATTACATATAGAACTGTCGAACATACATGCTGCATATTGTCTAGGCTGTAGTGGGGTAGCCCATATGGGGTACAACCCAATTAGGGTTTACTACTTGTACTCCTGCATGCTGCTAGTTCATTCATTCCTGCTGCTAGATTCTAACATGGTTTCAGAGCACTAAGGTCCGTAGGACCGTTTTTTTTCCGGGCCCACCTACCGCTGCGGTTACCGCGCTACCCCACGTACCTGCCTGCCTTGCCTTGCCTTGTGACGTGCTGCACTACGCGCGCCGTCCAGCAGCCCTAGCGCTGCCTCCTGCTGCCCTAGGCCCGCGCGCCGCCCCTACAAACCCTTCAGGCCCGCTGCTGCAGCGCGCCGCCCGCACAGAGCCCGCGCAGCCCGCGCCGAGCCGCGCGCAGCCCGCTGCAGCCGAGCCCGCACAGCCTGCGCCGAGCCGCGCGCAGCCCGCTGCTGCCGCGCGCAGCCCGCGCCGAGCCCGCGCAGCCCGCGCCGAGCCGCGCGCAGCCCGCTGCTGCCGCGCACTGCCTCGCGCGACCCGCCCGCGGCCTGCAGCAGCCCACGCCGAGCCGCGCGCGGCCCGCTACTGCCTCGCACGACCCGCGCGCGGCCTGCAGCAGCCCAGCGCGCTGTCAGCGCAGCCCGCGCCGAGCCGCGCGCGGCCCTCTGCCTCGGCCCCGACCTGCCGCTGATGCGGCCCCGCCCTGCAGCTGCCTCGGCCCCGACCTGCCGCTGATGCGGCCCCGCCCTGCAGCTGCCGCGGCCCCGACCTGCCGCTGACGCGGCCCCACTCTGCCTCTGTAACTGCTGCGGCCCTACTCTTCAGCCGCTGTTGCGACCCCGCCGTCGCCGCCGTCATTCGCCTACCTGGTCGCCGCCCGCCGAGCGCCGGCCCTGCTCGCCCGGCGAACGCTTGCCCTTCCAGCCTTTGGTGAGCTCCTGCCTGCCTGCCTGCCGACCTGCCTGCCTGCCGGCCTGTCTGCCTGCCTGCCTGCCTGCCTGCCGGCCTGCCTGCCTGCCTGCCTGCCTGCCTGCCTGCCGGCCTGCCGGCCTACCTGCCGCGCCTGCCTGCCTGTCTGCCTGCCTGTCTGCCTGCCTGCCTGCCTGCCTGCCTGCCGGCCTGTCTGCCTGCCTGCCTGCCGGCCTGCCTGCCGCGCCTGCCCTGCCCGAGCTGCTGCGGCTACTACTGCTACTAGGAGGTGGCAAGATGCAGCTCCAGCGACGTTCACGCGAGTCTCTCACGCCCCAGCAGCTTAGTGAGTGGTATACTAGTTGGGGTGTCGCGGTAGCCGTCAAAGCTGTCGCCCTGGAGCTGGTCAGTTGGGGGCGTCTGGCAGTGGCCAGCTGCAGCTGCAGCGGCGTCCACGCGAGACACTTACGTCCCAGCAGCTCCATGAGTGGTACGCTCAGAGTAGCAGGTCTACGCGTACAGTTCGTTGCCCGTACGTCATTCGCACAGGTGATAGGACTGGTCAGCCTTGTGGGACGCTTGGTCACACACAGTCCCGCTGCTTCGCCCGTCTGAGCGACGCCTGGCGTACCGTGTTTGGCGACGAGGCTGAGCTCCCTACCTGGCCGGAGCTGCTTGGACAGAGGGTCGATATCTTTGCTCTTGACTATGATGCTATTCTCACTGCCATGTATGCATTGCCTACTAGTGTTGACCGTGCCTGTTACCTGTGCGTACCGCCTGACCCTGGTATAGCGCCTGCTGCTCTCGGTACTGGTGAGGCTGCTGCTCTAGGTGCTGGTGAGGCTGCTG